TTTTAACAACGTTTTTACTCTCCAAATTGAAGTATTTGATGTTTTCTATCCTTTATTTTGAAGTTTGGCATTGACATTCCTAATAGATACGTTTCTTTTTAATCGAATAGCTTGTTTTACAGCTTTAATATATTCGATCGTTGTTGTTGTAGGAGGTGCACCTAATCTTGATAAATCATCTACTTGATTTCTCTTCAATATTCTCCAAATTTTGAGTCGCAAAGCATTTGTCGTCGTGTAGGATGGTGGATTTTCGGATTGAAGAAGAAACTTTGCAATATCTTTCCGTTTCCATGATGGATGTCATTTTTTTAAATGTAATACGAAAGAATGAAATTGTTTTTTATCTTTATCAGATTGTTCATGTAACATTTTGTATTGATTCAGTGGTAACGGACTAATATTGCACTTTATATATCTCTCCCATCGACAAGTGCAGGTGCAAAAAATATGTTGGTAAAAGAGAAAATGTGTTCTGTCACGTGTTAATCAAATAAGCGCTCGAAATAACAACTTTTCTCCCGTTCTTATATCAAATTTTCGTTGCTGGAAATTTTTCAAAATAGCACATGACAGTGTTTTTACAGTTTCTCATCCATAGTCAAAGCTACAGATCTCAAACTTTCTAGTTATGTAGTACTACATATGTACAATAATCTGTAAAAGTTTCAAAGAGTTTGCTTTTGGTGAATGCGAGAACGATGAATTTTAAAAATGTTTCAGAACTTCCGGAACACCTCCTATTACCATTACTTCGAGTCCATGTTTTATCTCAAGGCCTATTCTATGGAGACACCCATGGATCCTAAAGGGCTATTCAATAGCGGTACCCACACGTCCTTAAGAGTTATCCTATGAGAATACCTATAGATCCTCAAGGGCTATCCTCTGATTATACCCATAAGTTCTCAAGGGCTCAAGGGCTATTCTATGGGGGTACCAATAGGTCCCCAAGACCTATTCTATCAAGGTAGTATAGGTCTTCAAAGCCTATCCTGTAGGCATACCTATAAGCCGTCAAAGGCTATCTTCCAAAAGTGCCCGTAGGTGTTGAGTTATCCCAGGCGGTACACATGGATCTTGAAAGTTTATCCGATATTGATACCCGTAAGTTCTCAATGGCTTGGAAGTTGAGAAGCAATAAGTTCTCAATGGCTTGGAAGTTGAGAAGCAATAAGTTCACACTGGCTTCCGTATAAGGTGTGGATGTGGGTGTAGGTGAGCATCATCTCCTCATTTACTTACATCCACATCCACATCCTTCGTTATTTTTTTCTGAAACTTACTGATTCAGATTCAGAATTTCAAGCTGAATCTAATGATGTAATTTTTATTTCGATTGAACAAACTGTTATAGAGTAATTGTTTACGAAATGATGCAGGGTGAGAAAAAAAATGACATAGGGACATCTTCACCTTGCAAATCTATGTAGTCTTCCATTTTACAATATTTTTTAAGTATTTATACATCAATCGATTCATCATGTGCCAGTGAAAAAAGTTACATAATCTTTTTGAAAAATTTTGTGTCATCACTGAGAAAAGACGCCAACACTAATTGATTATGTTATCAGAAAAAATGATTTCAATTAGGTATGTACTAGTTCCAGTCCGACTAGGACTGATCCGACTAGTTACCAGTCAGGACTGGTGCATACCTAACTTCAATTGGCCATTAAATTTTTCCTCGTAATTGAACATTTTCGACAAATATTGAAAAAAAATCGTTCTCTATTCAATAGGGTGGAATAGAAAATCATTAGATAATCTTTTCAAAGAATAAAAAGACTCCTGAAACCAGATTTCCAGTTGTACGTGGTTTAGCGATAAGATCCTGTTTTAACAATATCAACATGTTAATCTTTCTGTCAGTCGAGCCTAACGTACATTGAGAAGTGACAGAAGTATTATTTCAAGTTTTTCATCCTCTTCT